CCCCAAAACCCCAAAACCCCAAAACCCCTTAGCGCTCTATTTGAAATAGTCGGAAAATTATTAATCCATAATATTGGGTTTGTTTATAATATTTGACATTTATCATAGCTCATGGTCTTAGCTTTTTCTGTGCTTGTAAAATGATCTTTAGATTGTTAAGGATTTCCTCTCTAGTTTATTCATCTTTTTAACTCTCAGTTATTTTCACTTGTATTGTTGATATCTGATTTCTGACATTATTGCTTTTATTAGAAATATCATTGAGTTTTACTCAGTATTAACTTTTAACCTATACCTCCTATTGTTTTAGTACGTTCAATTCTTAAAACTATTTTTCATATTATTCAGAACTTCCCTTTATTTTATCTCTGTTTTTAATTAAGTTTGCTAGGCTGTGAGTCTACCTTGTAAGTGATTAGCAATTCAGTTATAATTAATTAGTTTTTAATTCATTTTATTTGCAGTTTAGTTCCAGATCCTTCTTTTCTTTTTTAAGTTCTTTAAGCTATTGATCAAATATTAAACTTTAACTTCTTTAATGCTGACCAGATTTTGATAAAAACATCGACTCACTATTCAACTGAATGCTATTGCTTACTCCTCTCATATACTTTCTTTGTTAGTAGTATTTATCTTTGACTCTTTGGAGTTCTCTTTACTTGAACATATAGTCATTTTTTAATTCCAATATTAGAATTGGTTTTGGATTCTAATTAGAAGTTGGGCCACCATGAATAGTATTCTTCAAATGCTGTGTTTAGTCTTTCAGATAAGTTTTAAGTTTGTTTATATGGCTATCTTAGCGATCTTTCATCTATCTTATCTACCTCAGTCTATTCAACTAATCATTAATTCTTATTAAAGACCTCTTTGATTGAGCTTCAGCTGCTTTTTCAGCCGCTGATTATTTCTAAGAAAGCACAACACTTTAATTAATGTTTTGGTTATCGAGGGGTGATTAAGCAAAACTATTGTTAAGGCTAAGCCTATTTACAGAAAATGATTGATTTATCTTTGGTTTTTCGATACTTATCTTGAGCGGCTCTGCTTTTTTGATTATTCTAAGTTTTGGCAAATGAAAATTTCTTCTGTTTAGATCTCCTTCATTCTTCTAATATTCCATGAAGAATGGTTAGGATTAAGATCTTTCCATTTTTTTAGATCTATAAGTTGGTGTCGGAAAATCAGTCTATAGTTCTTGATTGTGTTTGAGCTTAAAATCATAATACTTATTGTTATCCTCATCTTACTATTCTAAAGTTTTTATAGAATCATTTTTATCTGGAGAGTCTTGATCAGCAAATGAATATAATGGTCCAAACTTTTTGTTTTTTGAGATGAGATTAACCTTGAATAATCTATTCTGCTTATCTAAAGCCCTGCTTGATAATGTGTTATGATTTTTTTCCATAATAATAAAAACTTAAATTTTAATTCAGAACAAACTAATTAAGATTATAATTACAATTTTCAAGTACAAAAGCCACCAAACTAAATAATAAAATCTCAATGAGCAAAATACAGAATCATAGCATTGAAGAAGTATTATTTGAATCTCTCTTCATATTTGCCATTTAAGCAAGCATTTCAATTGGACTGGTTCCATAAGCATTTTCCATACTTTTATTCCTAGAAGCTCCTTTAATACCAGCTTTTTCAAGTTGAGCCTCTTATTTCATTTTATTCCAACCCATGATTCGTTATCTATTTTATGCTCTCTTATTTATCTTGGGCAAAATGATCTCACTTTTTTTTCTTGCTTGAAATCTATCCTCTTCTTATATTTCTTACATTCTTCTTGGATCTCTTTTAATTTGGGAAGGAGTGCTTACTCTATCTTTGACAAAGAAATTTCTAAACTCTTACCAATTAGTTTGTTCAAAGTAAAATCTTCTAAGTTCCTTATCATTAGGATAAGTTCTTAAATACTTCAAAAACTGCTTTCTTGTAGTATCAGATATATACTCGTAAAAATCAGATTTCCCAATACAATAGCATTCTAATGGCTGACAAGATATAACTGAATATGGCAATTATTTCTTGCTTATATCTTGAGGAGTTAAAACGAAGTTTGATACAGTATCTGAATCCTCACCAAAGCACTCATATTGCCCAAGTTCGGTTAGTTCGAGCAGCAAGTATTTTGTCATACCCTTTTTCCTATGAAATTCCTCAGGTTCCTTAAAGAGCATTTTGTAGTTTTCAACTGTAATCTCCTTATTTGAATGATCAATAATCTCAATATTTCTCAGAATTTTAACTCTTCCTTTCTTGATGAAATAGAGATACTTTGATTTATTATCTTATCTAGCAACTAGTGTGTTAGATTACAAATTTGTAATACTGGTCTTTGATGCAATAATGAGTAAAGTATTATTATCCAGACCATCCATGAAGTTCAAAGACCTGTAAAATGAAATGATAATATTAAGCTTCTTCAGCATTGGCTATCTCATGAATTTATTAAAGCTCTCTCCAGGTATTACAATTACATAGCATGCTTCTTAAGTTTTTACAGTTGCAGTTCTCTTGCCTCTAAATAAAAGAGATAACTCACCGAAAATTGTTCTACTACCCATATCGCACATATGTTTCTAACATAGTAATATGACAAATATGTAATCCTTACTGTTTTTACTTTAGTTTTTTAAAATTTGCTTGTGTATGTGAAAGTAACGTACACACTAGCATGGCCTTAAATTATAAGATAAGCTTAATCAGGTTCTTCGTCCTACCTAATGATAACTGAATCTGGTAACAGACATTCCATGTAAATCTCACGTGACAATTAAATTAGATCATCAAAATTTTCTTCTGCTACATATTAAAAGCAGGGGTAATCAATCAATAACTCAGCAAGCTCATACTCATCATCCTTTTTTCAATCTTTTGGATGAACTAGCAATAACTCATTGAATCTTTCTCTTCTAATGTAGTCTAATTTGATTTTCTCTTTTTTAAAGCGAAGGATGTCTTCCTCTTTTATCATTAAAATATTGAATTTATTGTAACAAACAATCAAAGGATTGCCTTAAGAGAGAGATTAAAATTCAAACTATAATTTATATTGCATATCACATTTTATTGATTTAAACAGTTCAATCATTTAAAATTGAAACTTATCTTGATTCATGGGGTTTTGGGGTTTTGGGGTTTTGGGG